AGTTCGAAACTACCAGCTGTTCCGCGGGAGAAAGATGAGGCTTTCTGCTCCTGTAAAGATTTACAGCCTCAGAAACCCTGTACAGGGTCGCTATGAGTGGGAACCAACTCCATGGCACATAACAACAACAACAATCGAAGGCTATTGAACCTCAAGCCCCTCCTTCCCAGTGGCCCATCAGTCCCAACCTTGTGAATCCTAAAGTTTGGGACATACATTCCCCTTCAATAGCCAAATGCCCTCCAGTCAAAATCCTCCTCAAAACCCCCACCCATTTCCTGGCCCAAGCACAGTACCCTCTCCCACAGTCTAACAAATCCATTTTCTAAACCCACCCCTTTCCCTACACACTAAACCAGGGGTCTGCTCCCCGGCCTGGATTGGCAACTAGACTTCATCCACATGCCCAAAGTTAAAACTAGTTAGTTCTAGTTGACACCTTTTCTGGGTGGATTGAAGCTTTTCCTACCACAAACAAGCAAGCCTCCACAGTCTCTGCTTTCCTTTTCAAGGAGATTATTCCCCGCTTTGGGCTCCCAACTTCCCTCCAGTCAGACAACGTCCCCGAATTCACTTCCCACATAATTCAAGACTTGCTAAATTATTGGGAATTTCCTGGCACCTCCACATTCCCTTTCACCCTCAATCATCAGGGAAGGTGGAGCAAATCAACAGGTCAATCAAAACTGTCCTTACTAAATTAATCCTAGAACTAAATTAATCCTAGAACTTCAGGTCTTGCTTCTTCCCTTAGCCTTGTTACGCCTCAGATCTTTGCCTAAAGCGCCTCTCCAAATTTCTCCTTTTGAACTAATGTATGGACAGCCCTTTCCTACATCCAGGACTAAAACCTGAAGCATCTGCCCTTCCACCATCTCTTTTAGCAAGCTGTTTAAATTACTTAAGAACTTTATTTTGGCAACATGCTGACTCACTTTTACCCTCACCTTTCCCCACATTAGCTTGCTTCTACCAATCAGGAGACGTAGTCCTAATTGCCCCTCTGAGCCTCCCAAAAGAACCCTTGAAACCCAAGTGGACTGGTCCACAACCACCCCTACAGCAGTTAAGTTAGAGAGTCTCTCGAGCTGGTTCCATGTCTCAAGGGTTAAACCCTTCCAAAGCTCTGCTGGTGGACTCGAACCATCACCCCCTCCTAACTATAACGCTCAGCATGGCTTCAGAAAAAGAGGGCAATCCAAGTAGCAGTCCTACCCCTAGTGGCAGCATTGGGACAGGCATAGCTACTGGAACTGCAGGCATTTCCCATTCAGTCATCCAATCAAAGTGGCTAGCGGAACAACATGAAGAAGACATAAATCAGCTCTCCACAGCTATCCTCACACTTCAGCAGCAAATTAACTCCCTATTTCAAGCTGTCCTGCAAAATAGGCGGGGCCTCGACCTCCTCTTTGCTGAAAAAGGAGGACTTTGTGTTGTCCTCCAGGAAAATTGTGTTTTCTTTGTCAACCAATCTGGAATAGTCACCAATCAGATCTGCCAACTTCAAGAGAGCCTTGAGCAACGACGTAAGGAAAGAGAGCCACAGGGTAATGGAGGGTTTGCTAGTTGGTTCTATAATCCTCTATTAAATTCCCTGCTTCCCTTTCTAACTCCACTATTGGTTACTGGCAGTTGCCCCTTGTGTTCTTCATTTTGTTCAATTGCAGGTTAGCCGCGTACCCAAATTTCCCAGCAAGCTGCTACCCAATTGTTGTTACAAGCTGAAGACCTAAGACTGCGGGACCAACCTCAGTCCAGCTGCTGACCCGGTTACAACACCGCCAACAATGACAAAGCTGTCACCGACCATGGTCCGAGCCCAAAGACCAAAGACAGCCTCATTGCCCCAATGCCAGCAGGAAGTAACTATGGAAAAATGACCTTTGTCCCTTGTCCCGTGGGCATGGATCATAGAGACGGCCATTCATTTTTCTAGTTTGACCAAAGAGGGGGAAATGTTACAATATCAGGTCCGCCATTTTTGGCTGTACCTTCCGGGTTCTTCCATCTCCCCTCCCTTCAACTCCATTTTGTCTGTTTCCCCGCCCTAAGCTACAAGGCGCATAGTTTAAAGGGCAACATGGCTTTTGATAGGCCAGAGCTAAATCACCCCAGCAATGACCACTCCCTTCCTGTTGAACCTATATAAGACCACTCCCTTCCCGTTGACTCTCTCTCATCTCTTCTGCCTCCTGCCTTCTCACCGGCAGAGGTCACCTTCCTCACCCTGAATAAAAGTCTCTAGATGGGCTGTCTGGTGTGCGGTATGGTTGATGAGCAACGCCGGGGTTGTTTTTTCCCTTTCACTTAAACTATTGTTTTATTAGTAAAATATTAGGTTTTAAGAAGACACAGGGCATGTTTTTGGTTTAAGGTTTAAAGATTATATCAGGGCAGTAGTTTCAAGGGTTCATCCAACGTTTATGACTCCATAAAGTTAGAGTCTGTGCAAATTTTAAATCTGTTCTGCATTTCCCCTCTTTTAGTCAAGGTTCTATTATGGGAACTTTATCAAAATGTTCTGTAATATTAGTCAGGCCCATTAGCTTTTCTGGTCTCATGGCAAAGGAGACAGTTGTTCATGGAGACAATTAGTCATACATTCCATATCCCCCTCCTATTCCTGACTCTCCCTTTTCTTCTGTTGCTCCAGGTAAATAGAGACTATTTGTCAAGCTTTGGATGACACTGCTTTCAAGTTTTTAAGACCCCAGGCACTATGCCATAAGCTAGGAGGTAGAACAGAAACACTAAACAGGCCAGTTAACTGGGCTATCCCATGATATTATGACTCTAAACACCTGTAAGGTGTTTGGTTGTACAAAAGCAGCCTCGGCAACTTTTGTTTTTTCTTGGATGTAATTAAAATAGCTATTATAAAACTTTTGCCAATTCAACTTTAAAAGTATACAACTTATTGACAGCAATTACAATTATTGATTGTGGAAACTTATCCTTAATAAATGCAATTTTTTTTCTGTCACCATTAAGTTCCTAACCCCTTTCCTCTTCTTGTTCTTGATAACCACTAATAAACTTTGGTCATAAAATTTTAGTCAGCATATCTTCCACCTGCATCCATAATACAGTATGTGTCAAGACTTCATTTCTCCTACTGGCTGAGTAGTATTCCACTTTGTCGTATTTTGTTTATCCATTAATTTGACGATGGGCATTTAGGTTGTTTCTACCTTTTGGCTATTGTGAATAATGCTGTAATGGACTTTGGTGTATAAGTATCTGTTTGAGTCTCTGCTTTCAAATCTTTTGAATATATATCTAGAAGTGAGATTGTCAGATCATATGGTAGTTCTCTTTTTAGTTTTTTGAGAAACTACCACACTATTTCCTACAACAGCTGTACCATTTTGCATTCTCACCAGCAATAGAGAAAGGGTTTCAATTTCTATACATCTTCACCAACATTTGTTCTTTCCTGGGTACTTTGTTAGCATGTTTGTTTTATAAAACCTAGTAGGATTGAAGTTGTGGTTTTGATTTTCATCTCTCTAATGACTAATGACACTGAGTATTTTTTCATATGTTTGGTTATTTGAATCTCCTCTTTAGTGAGATGTCTATTGAAATCCTTTGCCCATTTTATGACTGGGTTATTTGTCTAACTTCCTAACAATATTAAGTTTTTCTATGCATAAACACAAGCTGTTTTTCCATTTATCTAATTTTCTTATTAATATTTTATCATTTTCAGTGTAATATTGTTCATCTCCTACAAAGTAAGAAGTAGATTTTAATCAAATCTATTAGTAATTAATAGAACAGCAAACAAAAATTATGTGTAAGCTTACATAAGAATGAATAGCATAATTAATAGAATCGATATTATAGACATAAATAGTATTTTGACCTAACAGCATTATTGACCTAAGATAAATTGTTTTAAAGCACATTTTCTAAATTCAACCATAATCTTGTTAAAAACAAACATCAATAAAGTTTCAAGGATTTAAGTAATACAGCGTTCTGTAACCACAATGCAAATATGTTAGAAATCAATAAGAGAAGAATAATTAGACTGTCTGCGTAGATTTGGATATTAAGAAATCTACTTTTAAATAATTGACACATCAAAAATTGTGAAGGGATTTGAAGCATATGTTGAAATCAATAATAGTAAGAATGATACATATCAAGACTAGTGAGATGTAGTGAAAGCAATATTCATAGCTTTGAAGGCATTTATTGGAAAGAAGTTAGTAACGGCACAGCAAAATAAACAGAAAAATATAGGACTTAAGAGAAGAGCAAGAACGCAATAGATACTGTAAACAAAGTCAACTTTATCTTTGAAAAGTCTCATGAAATTGATAAAATTCTGGTTAGACTGACCCTGCCCGCCCCCCCAAAAAATAAAAATAAATAAGAGAGAGAAAGAAATAAAAGGCATAAGTAATGGATATTAAGAAAAAAAGAGAGACACTAGTAAAATCATTCATATATTAAAAAGATTTTATGAATAAGTAAATAGTATACAAATTTAGGTGAAAAAGATGAAAGTCTGTGGCAAGCATAATAATTGTGAAATGCTGAAAGACTTTCTGTTGAGACTAGGAGAAGATTAGGATGCCTGCCACAAAATAAGCCCAGTGAAAGAAATGCAAGACTTCTGGCAGAAAAGGTAACTAAAATTATCTTAAGAGACATTATAGAATACCTAACTGAACTGAAAAACTTATGTTCATAGAATGGAAGACTCAATATTGTAAAGATGTCTATTTTCTCCCAGGTTAATTTATTACTAGAATGCGATGTCAATCAAAATCCCAACAGAGGTTTTTGTTGTTGTTGTTTTTAGGTACCACTGAGTCAGTTCTGACTTACAATAACCCTATGAACAATTGAATGAAATATACCTTAAAAATATTTAGATATG